CTACATTAACAAAACAACATCCGATGTTCTGTTGTTTATTCAAAGAAATTTGCAATTTTCGTCTAGCCAGTGAGACGGACTCGAGACAGACTAATTTCGTGTTTCGAAGGCTACAAAACTATATCCTACTAAGCGGAACGAGCCAAAAGACGAACTCAACAACATCACTTGGTCCTCACTGCGCGAAAAGTCAGAGCAAGAAAAAGTGTAATCTTTAAGGCCAATACAGGTAAGCATCTCAACGTGTGACACAGTTTCTTCTAGATCTTATGGCAAAATTGCTAAAATACTTTAGTACCCAGCCCTGGTAAGGACTATAATAATGTTATGAACCTTCAATGCAGGTTGCTGCTGATAGGCCAAGAACAGCTGTCATCGGTTTAAAGGGCGACAAACCATCTCAACTCGTCTTCACGACTAGTCATTTCTTTTTGGCTAACTTATTGGACTGAACTAATCATAAGTAATCTAATATTCCGTTCACAATGTTCATGAAATATTTGATGTGTGTCGTTTGTATGGCATTGATAAGTGTTGTAAGCACTGGCGATGTGCGTCTAAGCAGATGTTATAAGACAAGTAAACAAATTGTCTGCTCCAGGGCCAATATAACAAAGCTACCGATCGAGGACCTGCGCCGTATGTCTGTGCTATATGTAAATTTTCCAGAAAACCGCATCCAGAAAATTCCCGACCTCTCGGGCCTTAAGACGGTCCACACGCTGAGCCTAAGAAAGAATCTCATCTCAGAGTTTTCTTGGGAATCCTTGAGACATGTTAAGTACCTAACCGACCTTGACCTCTCGTATAACCTGCTAACCTCTGTTCGACTCGATTTGGCCATCAGCGGATTGAAACATCTTATTCATGTCGATCTGACCCATAACAAGTTGGCTACGTTTTCTGGGAGAGATTTGGGTACCCACGGGCCAGGCAGGACCCGAAGGCAGATATTTATACAAGGAAATCCGATACACTGCGATTGCCACATGAAGTGGTTGGCAACATTGTCGCGACTGTACGACGACTGTTGGCCGAATGAGTGTAAATCGGACGTACGATTCTCTGGCTTGTATCTCGAATTTGCCCAGAAAGGCTTGCCGAAATGTAGAAGTCCAAAAAACGCAGCAGGCGTCCCGATTCACACCGCAAACATACCTGACTGCCACAAAAAGCAGGACGAGAAAACCTACAGCTATTCTGAGACGACTGAAAAAAATCTCCCTTTGGCAACCAGTACAAAATATGAAAAATCCAACAATTTGACCACTCAAACGTCTTTGGCTGGGCCTGATACTATGATGATGATGAACCTGTTGAACACTATTGGAGTCGTTGTTGCCTTTTGTGCTGTCCTACACGCTTGGCGGCGTCAGTTGATGTTATAGTTTTTTGGGGCTTGTTTGAACTTAAGTTATTCATAAAAAAAACTCAAATCGGTTCATATCTAGACAATGATTTGATGTCAAAGGTATAGTCTAGTAGTTGATTTCAATATTTTTATGTTATATTATTACTATATTAGGCCATGTTGATTTGATTATATGGATGACATCCTCCGGGAGCCCCAAAACTGATGCGCGCGTGCGAATATAAAAAAAAAGTTGTTTTCATTATGAAATCTACGTGGTCATGAGGGTTGAACAAATGGGACAGAATATGGTTTGGCGAATAATCTTATCTTCAAGTTCATTTCCTTACAATTTCGTCTTTTTTTGTTTGATTTTGGCATTCTACGACATTGGTATAGTTTTTACTTATTTTTTTGTAACTTACGGTATATTTTTGCTCATTTTACAACTGTTTTGTACGATTTACAGTATAGTTGAAAACTTTTTTTTTTGGAAACGGCCGAAAATTCATGCGCGCGGGGATGTCATCCATATAATCAAATCAACATGGCCTTAGTTACTAGTTGTACTCTAATTTACTGTAAAAATGTCAGCGAGACTACACCAAGAAAAAGTAATAATACGCTTGGGCATTCGTGAATAGGCTAAAAGCAAAATAAGCAATTAATGATCCATCGTATGATATAGTTCCAATATAAGTCGGAACGTAAGAATTTCTATTTCAAAAACTAGCTTGTGTGAGCATCTAATAATCTATTACAATGCATGCAATGAATGTAACTACTTTATTTTAAAACTCACTTGTCTATATATTGATCTATATATTACACCATTTATATTGTCAGTAGTCGTATTCTGCTTGGAGATGATGTTTATTCATATATATGCTGCAATAGCTCATATCCTGTTTCTTCTCACTACAGTATTTTTTTTTATTCCGAAACATGTAATCACAAGACGTGGTGACGGCACACTCAAGTTTTTTCAACTTATATTAATGCCGCCACCAACACAGGGACAGTACAATACTCATTTACACCTGAGCGAAGTGAGGAAAGTCGTGCAAAGTGCCTTTCCCAAGGGCACAAGGTCGGTGGCATGTCAGGACTCGAACCCGGGGCCTCTGGTTCCGAGTCGAGAGCGCTGCCGCTACGCCACACGACCCCACATACAGTATGTTTGGGAGGTATTTCGTACTGTTTGCAGCATACATATTCCCATGGGAAATTGTAATCTGCCTAGGAGGTGTCCGGGTGTTGAAAACAAAAACAGATCGTCTGATAAGTTTGACTCTCTGAGATATTTTGGCGGCTACAAGGTCCCCTATAACTTAGTACAAGGCAGTAACAAATTGGGAAGACATTGAATTGGCAACGCAGTATACATTTGGCGTAAAGAAAACAGAGACAAGGCTTGAAGCAAGCCACTACGTTCTTTACCATCTCAAGAGACATTTTTCAGATTTTTTTGTAAAAGAAAATTGTTCTCATTGCCTTCAATTAATATAACATCACAGGGAATCAAAGCGTACAACAGAATAAGTAAACCTGGGTCGAAAATGTGAAATATGGGCGGACTATAATTTCCTAAATCTGTTGTGTTATTTCAGGTGGGCGTCCAAATCCATAAATTATAAGTCTGTGTCTAAAGAATTCACGACTGCAGGGCTACCCGGTCCCCCCAGACCAGTCAACCACCTAACCGAACGACGTAATTAGCCACACACATAAAACAGTGTCCACAGTAATCATGCTAATTTTAGACCCATAGACTGGGACGTTTGTCAGGTTTTTTTTATCCCCTGTTACACTAGCCAAGTATGCCGAACACTGCCGAACCATGGTTGTGAGTAGGTCGTGAGCAAGGTCGGCTGTGGTTCGCTGGTGTTCGGTAAGGTCGCGTAATGTTTCAAAATGTTTAAAACATTCGGGAGTGGACGGGAGGTTGGGGACTGGTTGGCTAATGTTCGGAGGAAGGTCGGTAGTGTTCGTAGCTCAACTCAAATAAACTCAAATTCGCTTAGATATAGATTAGTATAGAAAGGTAGCCACATGCACCGAATCTAATGGACAGTCCTCAGGCCAATATCTCAAGAACAATACTGTCTGGAGCTGTAAGGTACGTGTGTTCTACAACAGCCTGTGGCAAAACGCGAGGTCACATGTGCCTGTTCCTGAGTCCTGACTCAAGGACGAGTGTAAGAAAACGAGAAGGACTGTACATATAACATTATATGACCAATCAACATTACCACTTGTACAATGAGCAAAAGCTCGAAGCTATCATCGTTTACATGGCCATAGAATTCTGGTTCTGAATTGTATGAACGAGTTCTATCCATAAAAAAAACTGGTTCTATCCATGGAATGCTGGTTCTATCCAACAAATGCTGGTCTGTACGAGTTCATAGAATCTTGATTCTAAATGAGTTCCACCCATAGAATCCTGGTTCTGTACGAGTACATAGAATCTTGGTTCTAAATGAGTTCTATCCATGGAATCCTAGGGTGGTTCTATCAATAGAATCCTGGTTCTATCCATAGAATCCTGGTTCTGTACGAATACATAAAATCTTGGTTCTAAATGAGTTCCACCCATAGAATCCTGGTTCTACCCATAGAATCCTGGTTCTATCCATAGAATCCTGGTTCTATCCTCAGGTTCTATCCATTGAATCCTAGTTCTATCCAAAGAATCCTTGTTCTGTACTAGATCTATCTTTCTTTTGTGTGTTATCAGCTTTAACAAACAAACAAATAAACAGGCAAACAAACACATCGAAAACAAAATCTCGGAGGTGACAAGCTGATCGGTACAGGTGACAGTCTCGTGCCGTATGGTAATGTCCGTGTAGGGTGCGGCTCGGGTTTGTACATGTATGTCTTCTCGTTCTTTTTGTTCGGCTTTCAGGTGCTAATTTTTCCCCATTGGACGCCACAAAGACACAAAAACACATGCATTGAAAGGCGTACACAATGAGCAAAAACGCGAATAAAACAATGCACCAAGATGAGCTATGTAACACCTGTTAAGTGCTTGAGGGCATGTATATGGATGAAAATGACCCCCGTGTCTTTGTTCTAGTATTTAGTCATGGTGTGTTTTATGCAGTTTAAAACGCTGGCTACCTTTTACTCCATTTGCCGTTTTGGAAAGAAAATCAAAAGGAATGGTCAGAATCATGATTTTAAGATACATAGTTTTTTCTTACACTTAAGACAACTCGAATAGCAAAGTTCATTACTTACAACCACTGTACTTGTTTACCAAGAGCCAACGTTTCGATGACCGTCGAACTCTTGTTAAACAAGTGATTTTGAATTAAAAAAAAAACTTTTCTATTGAATCATTTGCTGATGAAATTATTTGCAATGCCTTCATGTACTTTGAAAGGTGCTTGAGTTCAAGTACAAGAAACCGCTACATTTGTAAAACGTTAAAAAAACTGACGCACAAAATCGCACCCTCTACATCTGCTTGGAGATAAGTACTTGCATATTGTCTGCACCCGTTTTATAGGCGTTATCAGTAGTAAATCCACCAGGTGTAGAAATTCCCTACAGAGTTCAGCATTCCGGTTCTGTAGCGCCGAAATCGCAGGCTGTACACAAAAGGCTGAACCCACAACAGCGGGCATGTGCCCTGCGGCGGTCAGGCACTGCGCATGCGTGAGCCTGTCACACAGGTGGGTGGGGAAGAGTGTAGTCCTGACAAGACGAGCCACCAGAGCGGCCGCTTTAGTCTCCAGGTGAGTCAAACACCGCGTTTCCTTCCTGTTTTAAGCGCTGATTTCCTTACTAAACAAATTCGAGGCGCTCAGTGTCAAGTTGGGTATGTTTTGTTGACGTTTTGTGGCGCTTTGAAGCAACAGCTGGTGCTCTCACACGTTACTAGCTCCGGTGGCGTTTTTTTCCTTCCCTACCCTTAACTGTAGAACAGATGTGACCCCAGAACGACCCATCAACCTTTTTTTCTCTCCGCGGACAAAAGAACAGAGGGGAAACCGGAGAGCAACAGGATTTGCATGTTTTTAAAACCTTTCGTAACGTTGGAAACGTACAGTACTTATTTTTTCCACCAGTGCTTAGCAATAGGGCGCGGGAGGCATAATCGTAATATGATAGCATTTTTACGATGTCTATAAAAACGCAAAACAAACAAAAAGCAAAGTTATGCGAACTTTCGTGAGCCCGTACGGTAGAAATAATCGTTACTGACAGTCTTTGCTTCATTGGCCCACCCTACAGAGCTGCATTGATAGGTAGCGTTTTTTTTTTCAAAGGTGATATATGTACAGGGGTGATTCGGTGTTGGAAGTTCTGAAAATCGTGCGCGGTTTTGGTAGTCAGACCGCGACAACGGCACAGCGTGTCGCGGTGTCGGACAAATGCTCCCCCGTCGCGTCGTCCTTTTCGTACCCTCAACGCCGCGAAAGACGAGCGCTCGATTCCAAAACCTCACCGGAATAGTTGCGCGGATACAAAAACCTATAAGACCACGGGCTATTGTGTAGATTGTAGGCTTCCAAGTTAAAAAGATCCCCACTGGTTGTTCCTAAATCAGGGACAGCTCTCTTAAACCTACAGCGCGCAATAAACTTGCTTTTTAGACCCACGTAAGGCCTACAAGGACCGTACTTCGGTAAGATTTGTAAACCTTCGAGGGACTTAGCCTCCATAGCATGTAAAAAACTGGGGGTTTTGGGGGTCTTCAGGGTCTTTGGGATCTTTTATGTGCTATTTTCAGATTGCATATAGACAGCATAGCCGGCCTGGTTGAATTACCCCCGTTTTTTTAGAACTGAGCTAATCAGAAAACAGCCGAAGACCACCAAACCCACAGTTCTATAAGCCTGCTACGGAGGCTAGGAGGGACGAGCCACAAGGTGTGTCGCGACGATACAGGAAACACGTTAATTACGGTTATTACCATGCTTCCTGAAGTGGCGCCTTGTGGCGCCCGGGAGGCAAAAAAGGCTATCCTTAAGGTTGATCTGTGTAATTGTAGCTCAGAGCTGATAGACCTATGATGACACCAGCGATATGTTGGCTCCCTGAATGCTTTAGTATACAACAAACGCAACATTCCAAAACAAAAGGACCTGTCCTCGACTCGTCAAGCCTATCCTGCATTCTAGCCTCCACCAGGCCTTTCTACGGGAACACGACTTAAAACTGGCCAAGGGAATCCGGCTGCGAGGAGGTAGTTTCCTTCCCTGCGCGGCCAGTCAAACCTACAAGGCGGCCAAACTCCCCCGGCAATTATTCTCCTATATATAGCCAGTTAGTCTGGTAGAGACTACCTGCATTCTGTGAAGGCAGGATGCTCGCTTCTGGAAAGATGCACCCTGATAACCGGTGACACATTCCGTGTGCTCTTCAGCATGAAGTTCGCCCCGCCGAAACACAAATGCGGGCGCCCCGTCTTCTGAGGTAAACAGGCATTTCCGATACCTGTGCGACCCAAGGAATTGTAATTAATTCTTCGCCATGCACGAAAGCAAACTCTCTAGATACCAAAGACAAACCAAATACTAAAAGTCAATGGCCCCTCGGGCCTAGCACTTATAGCATGGACTTCACTTTGCGGCTGTAACACAGGTATAGCCTGCATGCATGCCAGACTCCAGCGCGACAGCATACTATCTTCGACTGCATGGGGGAAGCCACAAGCCCCGATCCCAGGGTTGGCCACTAGGGCACTGATTTTAGGGTTTAACCGATTTTATGGTAAAATTTCCTTGGGGACAGGTTAGCCCTGGAGCTGAGGAGCTACATGTAGCCTGTATACTGGTCCTGACAACAGTCTGGCACACAGGCTATAGAACAGGTATTAGGGGTGGGTATACTTAGGAAAATGAACATACTTATCACCGATGAATTACGTCTTAAATCATGGGTACTTTGTCCCGGCAGACATGTTCATTTGTCACCTGTCGTATCAGGTAAACTATCTGCCTATCGGGACATACATCACAACAGACGTCTGGTGCAGTTATCTGTAGAACAATACTGTCTGGAGCTGTAAGGTACGTGTGTTCTACAACAGCCTGTGGCAAAACGCGAGGTCACATGTGCCTGTTCCTAAGTCTTGACTCAAGGACAAGTGTAAGAAAAGGAGAAGGGCTGCACGTGTAAGATTGTACAATGAGCAAACGCCCGAAGCTATTAATCATCTTTTACACGGCCATAGAATATTCTGGTTCTAAATTGCATGAACGAGTTTTGTCCATAGAATCTTGGTTCTTTCCGTAGAATCCTGGTTCTGTACGAGTTCTATCCATAGAATCTTGGTTCTAAATAAGTTCTATCCAAAGAATCCTGGTTCTACCCATAGAATCCTGGTTCTATCCATAGAATCCTGGTTCTGTACGAGTTCTAACCATCGAATCCTGGTTCTAAATGAGTTCTATCCATAGAATCCTGGTTCTGTACGAGTTCTATCCATAGAATCCTGGTTCTGTACGAGTTCTATCCATAGAATCCTGGTTCTGTACTAGTTCTATCCATAGAATCCTGGTTCTGTACTAGTTCTAACCATAGAATCCTGGTTCTGTACTAGTTCTATCCATACAATTTGGGTTCTGTACGAGTTCTATCTTTGTTTTGGTGTTATCAGTCATGACTACCGGGTGAGTGTTAGGGTGAGGCATTATGTCACCAGCCGGCAGTTTTATATCCAAATGGCGGCCTTAAATGACGCCAAGCAATTGTCTGGAAACTCTTTCAATCACTAAAGACCCTATAAAACACTAATTCTATCGCGGACGAGGTCACACGATTAGTTGTACTCAGAAGTAGGTCGCAGAAGGACAACTAGAATAGTATCAGCTGAAAAGATATTCTTGTGCCCTCAGCAATACTGGGCAGAAAGTCGTTCGAACATTGATTGTGTTTTATTGGGCTTTTGGTATACTTATCTTCTTCGGAAAAGATGCAGAAGTTGAGTAAGATGAATAAAAAAACAGGAAATACGAGGGTGACTGAAGTTACTGATCTGTTTTCGCCTAACGCGTTGTGTGTTGTTTCACAACAATGGAACACAACAGCACATTTCATGCGCATACTTTAGTCAGCCATCTTGGATTTGGGCTTAGATAATGGCGACAAATTATGGAGCCTGTTTTCTGACTTGTTCTATAGAGTACACAAGGAAACTATAATGTTACATTCCAGTAATTCATCGTACTATATATATGAGATATAAAATTTTGATTAACAATGATGAATAATACTTGTGACGAAGACTTGTAGTGAAACCAGTAAATAGTGACTATTCAAGGTACTTGGAGCAAATTGTAAAGAAGTAGACAGGTGAATACTATAGACCAAATTCTTAAAATGTTTGAGTCAACGGGAAAATAATCTATGGGACCACCAGAAATGACCCCCGATGGTCGTTATGCATTAGGGGTCACTGGTACAGGTCACAGGTTGTATCGAAGGTCACCCCATGATGTATAAAATTTTCTTCGAACACATGATTTCCCCAGCTACCTGTTATCACATTAAAAAACAGAAATAGCCACATTCCTCTGCAGCACACAATTTTGTAATAAGATAGCATTGAGGATGAGTATAATTTTGTTGTTAGTTGTGCATTGCATAGAAACAAGAGAGAGATTTCGATATCCGCTATAATTTTATGCTGGCAAGATGAGTTCCAACATCTTTTCCGACAAGTTTTCGACATTTAAAATAGAACAGCAAAGTTCATATCCCTTATGAAACTAGACAAACCATGCAATATATAAGCTCCGTCTTTTCATACATCTACATCTGCCTTAAAAAGCGAGAAGAAATTGAACCTGTACATACCAGTAGTAGTTTACATTAGTCTGTATGATTCTAGTAAGATATCGCTGTAATTTTAGTCTGTTTTATTCATGGCCTGTACTTACCTCGTAAGAGCATAAACATATAATAGATGTCTTTCATTCATTCATTCCTATCGCAATAATCACTTGAACAATGTTTCCAACACAACAGACAAGCACCTGTTCAGCTTCACATGGCGAACAAATCTGTTGATGTGTCCGTGTATTAATGTGTTAACAAACCCTGATACATATTTAAAGGATATCTTTTTCTCTGGGAAGATCGTGTGAGATTCCACTAGGTAAAGGTGTGAGTGTGAGCATGTTCACCCATTCACTCATCAGATACTTGTATCATCACGGGAGTCATCTACATGCATTTTTATGACTTGTATGCATGATTCACATAACACCACACCTACCACCGAACAGTGTGCGCTCTGTATGTATGTAAAACGATCATGACCCTATTCTGATGCAATGGGGTGCTTTTCTTCGGCCTAAGGCTTCGTTAGAAAAATTATCATAGAACAGAAAGGGAAGAACAGATACGATCTTAAACGTTTCCTTATAACAATGAGTATCAGAAATTGTCTGCTCCGTATCAGTCGTAAATTGACGGGTTAATATTTCAAATACTTCAAGTCATGAATTTTAAAGCGAACTTTCATGTTGGTAAAAACTAAATTTGGGTGGGCATGAATTTTGATGAACTTTGAAGATATGTAGGGAGAGTGTTGACAATTATATCATGATCTAAGCAAGGGTGGGAATGGTCAACCAGACTTGAAAGAAAATTCAGACATCGCGTTTTGACCACCATTATGGTTGACGGTAGCAAAATCCATGCTCAGGAATAGACTTTTACAAACACGATTGCCCAGATGGTTAGGTGGCAGTTGAGACTTAGAAGTTAGAGCTCTCGACTCAAAGTTGAGTTTTCTACGCGTTTCGAGGCTTCCAGTATTTCGGAAACATCAAACGTAACTCTCGTGGGACCTTGTACTTTGGCACCTGTGCGACGCAAAAGGACAAAATCTTACAACCAACCAAAACTGAATTCAGCCTAAATGCCCCTCATTTTATCATATTCAAGGTCCCAATCACCTAGATTATATAAAACGATATTGTGAAAGGAAGCAAAAAATGAACGAGAGGTCATTTTTCTTACCAGCTGCGTCCAGCCAGACAGTTGTTTGGCCTGATCTTGTCCCCAGGCTGCGAGTGTCAGACAACCATTCCCCATTCACACCTGTCTGTCATAGCCTCCGTAGCAGGCTTATAGAACTGGGGGTTTGGTGGTCTTCAGTTGTTTTCTGATTAGCCCAGTTCAAAAAAAACGGGGGTAATTCAACCAGGCCGGCTATGTAGTCTATATGCAATCAGAAAATAGCACATAAAAGCTCCCGAAGACCCTGAAGACCCCCAAACCCCCTAGTTTTTGGCATGCTATGGAGGCAATGTCTGTCAGTCACAGGCCACGTGTTCTGGGGTTTACACAGAGGACACAAGACACGCATTCTTTCACCTTGACAAGGCGTGAACTGTACAGGACAATTATACGTGGTACAACGGCGTAACACACCAGCTTCGCAGGCACGCGGCGCGGCGGCAGTTGGCTACATTACACCGAACGATTTGTTACACCTAATTATAACCCTTGGACATCTAAAAAGTCTCTCACACATTTGACAGGAGTTTTAGTTAATGGCATTTGACACATCTACAGTCTAAACACGTCCATTACCTCCCAACACCCGTCACACAACCCTGAGGGAACATACCTGTCTCATTATGTCTACTCAGTTACCTTTCTAACTAACTGTCAATCACAGTGAGGGGAACAGATCTGGTTTAGAATCATCCCTGCGTTTGTTCACCTGTTTTGTTTTTCCTGCTGAGCACAAACGATCAACAAACAAAACCCATGTACACAATAGAAACAAAAATGGACTGTTTTTACAGGTGAGGCATCGTGTACTGTATCTGTATCGCCGGTATAACCGCCCTTCGGCGTAACACACCAGATTCGCAGGCACGCGGCGCGGCGGCAGCTAGCCAAATAACACCGAACGACTTGTTACATCCAATCTTTGCACATCTAATAACTCTATTGTTTAAAGCTATCTAGTGATGATGCCCCAACTGTACTTGGTGGCAACGAGTTCCACTCTACGATAGTTCTTGGAAAGAATGAGTTTTTAAACACCTCAATCCTTGGTTAATAATTCGGTAATGATCATAATGTGTTTTTAAAGGTGCGACAACTTGTATAGCGTAGCCTTTCTAATTGTAATCCTTTGCACATTTTGGCACTCAGGACCATACTAGCCTTAGGCGTACTCATATGTAGTCTTATACCGTGTATTCTCATTGTATTCAAAAGAACAACCAGATGTTAAAAAATCCTTTTTTTAAAGAATATGTGTTCCCAGCCTAGATAGCTACGGACGAGTGATGAATCGGGAATCTCTGAAAATTTGTTTCGCCGAAGGGAGCAATTCTAGGGTAATTTCGCACGGTTAATTGAGCTATCCAATTAAGCTAATGCTGACATCAAGAGTAGACCCGACGCTGTGTCGCCTGAGGCATTAGTTTGTCGAGAACAATATGGCATATTGTCGCTGCCACTCCAAGAAAATGCATGGCATGCATACATACATGAACATACTTGTACGTACAAGTTGAAATTCTGTACTTTGACCAATAAAAACAAGAATGTTGACCTTATCATGAAAATAGCGAACACAGACTGTCTACATCACAAAAGGCACTGTTCACGTAAAGACGATAAAAACAGAAGGCATCATGGATAAATTAACCACATACCACCAACAAAATTATTCACGACACAAGGGAAAAACGTAGTTCATAATTTATTTTGTTCATAAATTTTGCCGTCCAATTTTGAGGCTCTATATTGGCTGTGTATTTGGGAAATTAAAGTGCAATATGACATTATGGGATTCCCCAACCACTTGTAGATGCATGGACTGCTTAGCTTTTCATGGAATAAATTATGATATTCCCTCGAGCCAGGTCTGCCTTATTATAAGCCTTCTCATTTTCCCGTAACTCCTTATGAATAAGTTAAGCTACGAATGTTTTCAGGATCCGAAAATGCTTTGGAAAAGGCAATGATGGCATAGCCTCTACCAGGTGTCAGAGGCGGCTGGAAAGAGTAGAAATTGGGGAGATAGACAGATAACATGCCATGGGAGTTAGTCCGCCAAAGGAGTACAACTCTGAGCGGCAAACTGTACTCCTGTAACAGACCAACTTCCCTGGCATGTTTTTTTTAGACTATTTTGCCAATTGCTACTACTTCCAGCCACCTCTGAAGCCTGGTAGAGGCTACGATGAATTTCACAACAAAAATACTAGAAAACAACCTTAAAAAGAAAGAACAATACATCCTTAGTGCAATATCCCTTTGTGCTCGTCTTTCCTCTGACTGCCGAGATTCTATGACCACCTGTTCAGATGTAACCCTTGCCCGCGGCAGGTCGGCAGCTATCTTGTAATTTCCGGAATCCCCCTTCATTTAACTAAATACCTTCACAACACAGGTTTGCATTGTGGTCGCTATATCAATTCCCCGGTTCAGATGGCCCATACAATCCCGGCTTAGCAGGGTCTTACAGAAGACAAAAGAAAAACCTTGTATATATTCCGGTCTGGGTAGGAACTATTGAAATGTTCAACTCATCTGTTAAGTAATTGTTAAGCCAAAAACGTCGCAAAGGTATGTAATGATTGGTGTAAGAAAAGGTGGGTTGAAACTCGACCAAACCTAAATACTATTCTATTGCAGTTTTAAACTCCCTCGGTATGTATGACAAAGTTGTGTTCGTCTCTGACCTTATGCATACTATTATTATGAATGTAGCCGGTCTGTACTTAACTAAACCCTTACGCAAACCGAAAAAAATACCCAAACAAGGTAACTTTAAATGGTTATCTTCTTCTTTTCAGATAAAGAATATAACAAGGGAAAATGGCTTGGAGTCGTCTGACGGGCACAGTGAGTGTTAACGTGTTGCTCTTGCTGTTCCTGTCCTCAGTTGTGGTAAGTCCAGACTTATTTTATTACAATGACACCTGAAGCTATGGCATTTAAATGTTATTATGGAAGGGTTAAAAAAGGAAGACATATTTCTACGGAATTATGTAGTGATCCTCAACGCTTTTGTTTTATAAGCTTATCATATGTTCTTGAAAGGCTGAATTGTACAGCTTTGACACAATGTGTTACAAATTGACTGTGCTACATATCTATCAAAATACACATTATCTTACAAATGCATTCGTATAAATCGTTCAAATCTAGTAATACTATTACTTTGCAAAATGTTTGGGAGAAAGGGGCTGTGTTGCTACATGATTTTTTTTTATCTCGCCGTATAGAGCGCTCTGATTGGTAGCCAGCTGTCCTGCCGGACCTATGAGGAGTGTGAACGTCACGAATACTGCGCCATCCTGCCCAATCAGGTGGAAGGAAAATGCCTGGTGAGCACGTGACCTCTTTTCCCCACCAATAAATTAAAATCCCAAAATTACTAGGAATACACAAACAAACAAACAAACAAACAAACAAACAAACAAGAACATACACCAACGGGTATACCGAAAACAAAACACCCTCACATTAAGGTAAATGCGAAAACTCTACAGTGTGCCTTGTATATGCCAATAGTAAACTGGACCTCACTCTATGAATGGTGTCAGAAGTGGGATTCAATGCCGTAAAGTAATAGAAGCAGATGAAACCGCAAAAGCAGTACTTAAGATAGTTCTCTAAGAATTCAAATTCTATTGGGCACCCACCACTCTTCTTCAGCATATGAATACTAGTTTACCTGATGCCTAACCTTTATCAACCTACTGAACAAACTTTTGTGGTATTCTAGGGACGAGACTGTTACGGCGATGCTGACTGCCCTGGGGACGTGACGTGTGACATGTCGGAGCCGGTCTTCGTGCCAGAGCGGGACACCCACCGGGGAGCCTGCGGGACCGGCTACTCCCGCCCCCGCCCGCCGGCAGCTGAGGTACGTACGGTGCCTTCCGTCTCACGTAGCAAATTGCGGATGACTAGAACCATATATCCGGATCGAACACAACGAACCTTCGACATGTTATTACAAGAAAATACCAAATGACCAACGGTTCTGTCCATTTTGTCCAAACATGATTGAAAATGAGCACCATTTTATAATGGATTGTACACTATACAATGATAAGCACCTATTGCTGTTCACCTTTCTTTCCGCTTGTTCAATTGATTTCAATACGTTAGATGCTATAGATAAATTCAACTACATTCTCAGGGGAGATAACCAATACAGTGTTCAAATAGGAAAATACATTAAAGAATGTTTCGATCTTAGAGACCACATGTTAGAGAATAGTTAACCTTTATTGTTACATCATACATATACTCTGTACGTAAGATGACGTTATCCACACATGTATTTAGCTTTGTTAGATCTTTAGTTAAGTTGTAGAAGACCATACAAAAGTCTCTGTACTTTTTTGTTGTGTCAATAAAGAATCATGTCTAACATCCCCGTCAAGCGCTGATATCGACGGAGGTGTTCGAAATAGAACAGTGGGTTCGATGTTCGACGGAGGCGTTCGAAATAGAACAGGGGGTTCGATGTTCGACGGAGGTGTTCGAAATAGAATGGGGCGTTCGATGCCTTCGATCAGAATCATTTTTGCATATTGCAACAAGCTATTCACATTCCACTTGTTTTGTTCGCAGTGCCTGTCAGACGCAGACTGTGAGATCCCCGGGGCCCGCTGTGTGAAGGGTTACGGCACCTGCAGACCGGTCAACCGACAGGCTATCATGGACCCGAACGTAAGCACGTGCTGAATAGGCTGATGTGGATTTTTGGTGCTGCAACAGGAGTTTTCAACCCACCAATATGGCGGGCGTCATTGTCACGTGACAGCAAATTTACAGCTTGATGACGTAGTTTTTATCTTTTTGTTTCCCCCAGGAGCGGTACTGTCGTCAGCAGGACGACTGTCAGTACGGAGAGCAGTGTGTGGAGAGTTACGTCTGCCGGCTGGACACCTCGCAGAAACAACCGGTCGTACCGGGGAACCAGCAACTGGTGCGCAACCTATATTACCTATACTACCTATATTATCGTTCTACGACGTCAAATCGAGACACGTAAAATTAAACGTCAAGATAGAATTGAAGTTATTTCAGGAAGTCAAAATGTACTCCAAACGTATCCCTCTTCTAAATACACCAACGTATTCTGCGTAAAACGTTGGCTGTATTTGTCACTTATCTTGATTAGTCTCCACCAGACTCATTTGCAGGCTGAATAAATAGTAGAAATCGGTCTAAAAACGAATGTAACTAGCCAGGGGAGTTAGCCGGCCACAGAGGGTCCAATTTGCCTTTTTAGGTCGATTCCTACTAATTAGCATTCATTCCGCCTGCAAAGGAGTCTGGTGAAGACCACTAGTATATCTTAGGAGTCCTTCGCAATCGAAGATGACCGTCAGTGTCCTCACTACGCAAGAAAACCCTGTTTATATTTGTTGTTGTTGTTTATGTTTACCCCAGGCTTGTAACCCGTACGGCAGCTGTACTCCGTGTCGCGGGGACGGCCAGTGTGCCTCGTACGAGTACTGCTCAGACCAGTCCGGAGTGACCACAGGACAGTGTCTGGTAGGTCCATATCTATCTACAATAGGCTACAAGTACAATTCGGCAGATCCTGCATTTTCCAAAGGTTTCGCAGGCATTCAAAGCTTTCTATAGACCCCAAGAACAAGCAGGATCTTGTAAACGCTGCTTTTTAGGTACTACATATGTGTGACTGTCTTCATACAGAACATAGATAATCAAAACATACAGATAAAGGTTTGTCAAAATCCATGTCACGGCATTGTCGTCCAAAAAGGCCCAGCGATAGACTGGTTGATTCAGCCTACATGTATGTTTCACCACGCGTTGCCATGACATTCTACGTTCTAAGAACAAGTAACAACCTGGTTGCCATGGCAGATCTGTTCTCTGTGTTCTAAGAACAGGTCATGTTCTATTGTCAGGACACGTAGGCAGACGACGTTGGAATGTGACGTTCCACAACAACTCAAGAGACTAAAACAAAAGAAGTTCCGGAACTCTAGACCTGACTTGGGCTCTTTTCGACACTGTTACGCATCAAAAGGATCGCAGGCAGTGACCGTAGGCAGTGCCATCCTAGAATTCTCTAGTTTAAAGCAGTTGTAAACAAAGTCCACCAATGTATCACATGTACTGATTGTTTCCATCACCTTCTTCTGTTCTACAGGGCCAGGACTGTTACGGTGACGCGGACTGCGAAGGCGGGCGCTGTAACGGTGGGTTCCGCCAGCCCAACACCCGCGGCTGGTGCAGCGCCCCCACGCGTGCAGTCGTCGCACTGCAGCGGCCCGACCCCTTACAGGTGGTCTACCCCGAGTACCCCTACCAGTCCCTCTACCCACAATACCGCCAGTCACTGATAGACTATATGCAAGGAGATAGCAAAACCCTGGACCCAGCTAATGTTAAAGACGAAGACAAGAAGGGGGAAGAACGCAAGGCAACTCCAAAGGACAAGCGACTGCGTCTCTACGAAGCCAGGCGCGAGAAGCGACTGCAGGCGTTTCTGAAGAAGGAGAAAGAACGCATGGACAAGTGGACCAAGAGGGAAGACAAGCATCGCTTGAAGGCCTTGGGTCTGTAGGTTTGTTTTTGTCAGGACAGCGTGCTAATCTCCAAGCAGAGGTTTGGGTGGAAGATCGCAACGTTTTTGCTGACTGCAGGGCTTCTCTACTCTCCACCAGACTATTTTAATAACAGCGAGGGTTCAAAAATAGCAAAAATGTAGCCAAACAGGGGACAAAATTAGCTAGCGCCTGCTGTTAGGAAGGGGAAATTAACCTCCCGCGGACTGACTCTCCTGGCCAATGTATTCTATTCCCCCCCCCCCTTTTTTTACCGAATTCTACGATCCGTACCCCAGTACTAAAGGAAGGCCTGGTGGGGGCTAGGGCTTCTCTGACAAGCACCCGTGTCAATGTGGTGGTTGTCAGAAAAGAAAAGCAAGGCAGCGCAGTCGGAAAATATAACAATCTTTTCACGCCCAATATTTGCTTGCAGATTACGGCTAGGACACGCAAAGTTATCAAGATAATGCTAGGAAGGCTCGATTGCAAGCGCATATCTTTCTGATTTGATATTAATTATAACTGCCATTTTAGTTATACTGTCAACATTATATATATTGCACTACATCGTATGTACAATGTACATTGCCATGCTATGCACGTGTCTTTACGTGGTGTGTATGAATTGAAAACATATCGCAGATGTGACAAAATTTCTACATAATATACAAGAAACAAACGATAATCTAGGTAACTGTTAGTTCTCTATGTATGGAATTCGAACTTTTCTAGCCATGACGGTACTCCCACGTAACCACAAGTTACTGTAATTCAGTCCTAAACCGCACGAGAGAGCCATTTCCATACCGTCCTTTGTAATGCTTCAAAAAAGGAGCTTCTATTCAATGAATGTCCTTGCTTCAAATTATGAGGAAGCATTAATTCTTTCGCCGAGTTTGCAATGAATAATCGACAATAATTAACGACGAACTAACGTCTAAACAACTGGATATTTTACGCAATAATTTTTATTTCAATGTTATGAGGTGTAAATAATTTATGGGATATATTATTTTCTAATATTTATGTATATGGTGGACTCATAATTTAAGAGGTGGTTTTTAAATGGTCAAATTATCTTCCAATGAATATTGATACGTTTACGTTAAAGTTTAAGTAAGTATAGTAGTTCACATTTCACTTTGTAAGTAAGCAAGGATATAGTCTTTTGAAATTTTCTGGTTAAGTACATTGTATACAATATGAAGAATAATTATCTTGTTTAGTTGACTGTAGTAAGTAAATCTATTCTCTTAGCTAGGTCTTGTAACTTCTTTTCCTTCTGATTGTGAATAAATGGTTATTTGGGAAACTACTCAACAGTGGGAGTGAATGATTTTCTTTGCTTCTGATTTGTACTATACCAGATATACATATTTACAAAGGTTTATTATTGGTGGATATTGCAAATACCCGATATGCATATATTAAAGTTGTGGATGTATACGCTCAAACGTTATAGTAGGTACTATCAGCTAAAAAAAAGTCACGCCTTCAAGTACAAGCGCTATCAACCAAAAATTACGATGTTCCAAAAGGTATTCTTCTAGAGCCATCGTAGATTGGAACTCGTTGCCACCAAGTACAGTAGGGGCAACATCATTAGCTAGCTTTAAACAATGCCTTCTTCCAAGAATCAAGAAATTAGACCTTATGTTATGATAAAAAGAAAACCACAGCTATATTGGGAAGAGCATCTGAAACGTCTTTTATTTCCACAAATTTTTCAGATTACAACTGAAGTTCCTAACCAGCCATGGTGACTTCTGACTAAGACAGTACATACCGGGGAACAATGCACACAACTGAGCTGATGTCAGGATGATTTAAGCAAGATTTAAGCATATATAAACCTGCGTACACTTTTGGAAATTATTGCTTTGGTGCCACACATTACGTTATTTGCACTTAAGAGATGTGAAGGCTTCACATATGATATCAAACTTTTCAACTACAGAAGTGAAAAAATCATAATCATAGTTGTCAGTAAAGACCTAAGACTTTTGTTACAAATTTGCAAGGGCAAAACCTGTATTGTTTTGGACACAAAACATACGTAGTGTCAGTTAAGTAATCATTGAGGCATGTAAGGAAACAGAATTTGATGAGCCCTCTACAAAAAGTTCCATTAAAAAAAAAAGCACCTGTTTCTGTCGGCTTCAAATCGCTTTTATACATTTTTATTGGCTTACAAATACATGATGAAATGTAGTTTGATCAAATTCATTTGTTACAGCGTCAGTTATTGGTCGGTTTATCTAAGTACCATCAGTAACATCATCAGTGATTGGTTGTATCAACAGGCAATGCCCTACAACATTGGTTACTGTACCTGTCTCTACTACATGTTACAACCTCAGTTGTTCATGTAGTACTAGACAACCATTGGTTATTGTCATAACCACCTGTTACAAAATGGTTTATTATTGGATAACCACCAATAGAATACCAATGATTGGTTGTAGTGTTAGATAATAATGTTGTATGTTGCACTATCAGGTTCATTTTTTCTTAAACTATTTTTTTGGTTGCTTTTTTTACTGAAAGGTTTGGATTCCTCGTATAAAGCCTTGACAATTTCTTTCTTTTTTTTCCTTGACAAAACAGGTGATTTTTGAAGAGTGGAACTAAAAGTAGACTCGGTACAGTGCATTATGGATTAAATTCATGGTTTTAAGGCTATGAAATATAATTATGATAAGCTTCCTTTTTAAAGAAATAAAACCAAGAAAAGTGAGCTATAACATGGCTAACAGAACTTGCATGTACAAGAGAAACCAGATTTTAGTAGAGGGCGCTACGAATGCCTATGAGATGAACATAGATTGTCATTGGCCATACAATTGTAAAAAATATAATATATACATGTATATACGAAAAGGACAAGGAAAGAACATTTTTCTACAGTGGGGATGAAGGAAGCCAACATACGATTCAGCTTGTGTGTTTTTTTGTCTAACCTAAAAAGCTGCCCAGCCTGTCGTACTTTGAGCTACGTCGTTCCGTTTTTGCTGTATAAACATTCCACAAGGTACAACAGTCCCTCCAAACGCCAACACGTGCAAAATAACGGAAACAGACGGAAAAAAAATGTACGTCCCTAGTAAATATGTTCTCAACATGGCTCTCTAAAATCCTTCTTATCTACAAAATAGTCCACGAACAACCACGGCGTAAAATTCTTTGACACGTCACAGGAAAAACGAAAATCGGTTTTCGCGGCGCACTGTGGTCATTCGTAGGTACGATATCCCTACTCTAGCTCTAGTGTACATCCGTATCATTTGTTGCATACTGCATATAGGGTGACATGCATATTAACAAATACATGTTGTTGGTTTTCTCTCTTTAGTCTACTACATTCATGTACACTCCAGAATGATGCGCCTACCTGTGCTATATTTCTGTACAACATCATTCATGCTTCATATCTAGATATCATATATAAATGCTGTGACAAGTAAAACTCTCAGCCCTATGAGACTCGTCTATAGTTGGTAAGTACAGTTTATCAACAGTATCTATACATACACTTACACGTCATCGGATGAAAGAACAATTTGGAAACACAATCTGGTCGTTGTTGCAAGTCAGCACTTCATGCACACGACTCTCTAGCAGTTACTGCAAAGTTTTCATTTGTGGGTGTAAAAGTGGGGGGGGTTTGGAGGACAACCCCGCGTTAAAATGTAGAAAAACAGCCTTTCAGTTCATCTACCAGTGACTAAAAACACTTTGTGAAGTATCCTGCTAACGTGTTGTAATTATTGGTCATTGCCAGAAAAACAACAACACCTTTCTGCACACACGTACAGTACACACACCATGTATCCCGTTGAAGTGCGAATTTCAACCAAAAAGAACAACATGCTCACATGCAGCACACAAAAACGGATACCTCATGAAACATCGTGCGAAAAGCACAACTGTCTGAAAACGAACAGGTGCTACTTGACATTGGAAGCATGAAGCCATTCCTGAGACACGTGTGTGAGAGCTCGCTGTGGGTTGTTTTCATTCGTGAAAGAAGCCTCCACTAGTATTCTAGGCCTTTTCCGCTACAAGGCAAAGTGTGTGAGTGCAGGACTCAGTGACCAAAAGCTCGCTACACAAGCGTTGACTACCTTGTAATGTTTGTGATGTTGTGTAAAATCTTGCTTTAGCTGTTTGGCTACTGAAGTCTTTCTGCGTACTTGTAGGTTCTGAGTTGCGGCCTGTCCTCATGGCGAGCTGTGTTCGATAACACTGGATAGCCGGCCCTGTACGTCGCCCCAGCATGCGATTGGGTACATGTGTGTGGTACGTATGCACTTATTAACCTTCAGCCTGCTAAGGTAGCCGTTTGTCACCAAAAATCTCTCTTGGTTACGGGGAAAGGCAGCAGGAAGAAGGTTTGGAAAATCAGCGGCTTGTGTGTGTGTGCTTCTGACAGTGGCACTGCTAACTCGACTTGATTTCTCTTTCTCTCTCCTACAGGTTTGCTATGTACAGGGTAGGGTTACTTGGACAGCTTGCTTATAACTCGGATTAGGGCCCCGTTTTCATCCTTTAGCCTTTGGTTGTCGGCCCTGAGGTCTGCCAATTGCTGTGAAAACACAGGAAAGATCGGGTGTAAGGACTATTGTAGCCTGGAGTCCAGCCTTGGTAGGCTCACTCTCAGAGTAGTGGATCTTTGGGAGCAGAGCAAAGATAACAAGGCTGGACTCCAGGCTAGTAAAGATGCATTCAGATTCACCTTACAAGTTAACTCATAAATTATTGAAACTCAAGGGCCTCTCTGTAAAGCTGTGCTACAATGTATGTCACTGAGATGGGCCAACCTTAACAACTTAAAGCCTTTTCACAAAAACAAAAAAGTCTTAGAATCTTGAAGCCCAACAACTTACATGTATATACAGTACAAGTGTAACATCACACGGAGATATAAGGGTTAAAGTAAGTTCAGACAACATCTTGAAAAAGCAGTCACCTGTTATGCCTGACAATCTTTCCACAAGTAAATGTAAGTAAATAAATGACTTCAGCTGGTATTTGAATAAATGTTTTGAAGTTACCTTCAATTCTTCTTCCATCTCAGATATTCTCCTCTCCAGGGCTCTCTTCTCCTACACAAATAATACCAGCTTTAGTACCATGCTGATAAACTTTGCACTTCATACAAATATGCACAATCATGAACATGAGCTCCTCTCTTTGTCAAGGAATAAGAGATCCAATGCTTCTGTGATGAGTCAAGTGACAGTGTCATCTGCAAAACGTGATGTCACAGAAGCAGTGGATTGCTCATTTCTTGACAAAGACTGGAGTTGTACAGTAAAAAAAAATGTCTTGTGTTGGAAATTACGGTTCAAACTTGCTTCATAAAACATGTACAGTAGTACAGATAAGACTGTAGTACTGCATATTTCGTAGCTAGACAATAAAGATGTGTTACATGTACTTACTCTCTTTTCTGTCTCCAACATAACAGACCGATCTGGGAACCTCTCCCGTCGCTGGAACAAACAAACAAAAAATTTATAATAACCATAATGTAATACGTACTATAAATGTATGATGTCTCCATATTTTCAAGATATGTGATATTTTTCTCATTTTTCAATGGGTTTGAGTTGAAAATATTTTTTGAAAATTTTTTTTTGTTTTACCTGTTTATCCCTGTCGATCTGCACTTTGGACTCAGCCAGCTCTGTTTTCAGCTCCTGTACCTTTTCCTTCAGCTTCTCATTCTCAGCTACTGCATCCTCGTACAACTGTCACGGGATTCAAATATTTGAAAATTAACTGTCACACAATTCAAATATTCAAAAATTAACTGTCACGAAATTTAAATATTTAAAAATCAACTGTCAGCTACTGCTTCCTTGTACATTGTTGTACAACTGTTAGGGATTTCAGATGTACAAAAACTAACTCACAGAATTCAACTGTCAGGTACAAAGAATAAAACCCCTATGTTCTGATGCCTCTACTTTCTGATGTAGTGTTAAGCTTGTTGGAACAAAGGTTGAATTGTTAGAACATAGGGTTTTGGAACATAGGGGAGGGGGTGGAATATGGGGGGTTGGAAGATATGGGGTATTGGAACATAGGGGTGTCAGAAAACAGGGGCCCAGTACTACAATGTAGTGTAGCCGTAGAATTTAGACATGTGTACACAATCCATTCATTGTACCTCATTAATACTGCCAAACATTAAGATAAAACAGAGAAAAACAGATTAAATACATAAACTTTATCTTATCTGAAACATTTGCAGGGTATGGGAAATACTAGGCTAACAGACTATAAAGAACTAGAACATAACAAAATTGCAAAGAAATTGAATCTTTTCACACCACATAAGGTATGACGCTGCAAAACACACACAAATAAACACATGTGAGAATAATAAACAACAAAAAACAACAGAGAGTTCAGAGCAAATTTGCAAAATTCCAGTGTAATCAAATAAGAATATGGTGATGTTTATTTGACCAATCAGAACACCCGATACATATCATGGTACTCCCCGACCAATCAGAAAGACTGTAACATCTAACACTTGAACTTTGAGATGTAAGGACAGCGCAGGGACAGTCCTTGACCTTGACCATGTCCTCAAGGACATGACCTTCATTGTTAGAGTTCCGCAGTTGGCAAGGCGCTGCCAAACTCCAGCTGCTAACATTTATCCCAGGAAAACACAAAGTCCTTCTGAGGTAAAAATACTCCTCCTTGGGTTAATCCTCGGAAATGTCTTGATCTTTTAAGGCTTTGGGAGACTTTGTAAGGAGTTTACCTTGTTTTCAAGGAGCTCCCAGAAGTTTCCGTTTATCTTAAAGTTATTATAGTTAAGGAAAATGTTTGTCAGAAAAGCTTTAAGATTTTTGGGAGTTTTTCTTGTATTCAAGGAGCTCCTGGGAGTTTCTGTTTATCTTAAGTCGTTACAGTTAAGGAAAATGTTTGTCAGAAAAGCTTTAAGGCTTTTGATGGTTAGTTGTTTTGCTCAAACATAAGAAGTCTCCAACACAGCATCTCTAAAAATGGTAACATGTAACAAAACAGGTCTAAGCATACATGTACATGTTATTGTACATTGTAGCAGACACAGACTGACAAAACTAAATAATAAAGAAGGGAAAAGAAGACAAAGACACAAAGCGAGGAAATATCTTTAAGCTATGATGAAGGAAAGACTGTACTACAAACACAAATGAACTTTCATGCTAAATTCTTATCCTATCTTTCTACATAACAGAACTCTGGAACAATGCAAGGTCAGATACATGTGCAACGGAAGGGAATGATGATAATTTGTGTAAGATAACATCAAGGATAGGTGGAGATCAGACATATCTAACATGGCCTCAGCTGTCAGTAACACATACATGTCATGCTATTGGTCTCAGGGGACAAAATATAAGGTTGCTGCTGCAACAGTTGTAGGTAGAACATGAATTTGGTTGGTACATGTACAAGTGAGTACTATGTGTACTATAATATACAAATGTATATCTTGAAATGTTTGATTGTGGTGTTTTCATTTTTGTGGTGAGCTCTCCTGAAATACATGACACTGCAAGTTTTCATTGTATTACTACTACAGTGGACTACAGAATTATTTCATCCCAAATCACTGCAAAAACATTCCTTTCCCTGTCTACCATGAAATAGCGTTTGTTCAAAAATAAACCGTAAATCTCTGTTGATGGCCAAGGTGCTTCAAGTCCTTATCTTAGTGTTTTGAATGTTTTGTTTTCCTTGACTTAACAAAGATGACATTGAACAACACACATTTTCAGGTATTTTTTCGTACTGAAGAACTAAAGACTCGGGTATCATTGGTTTAAGAAGTACCAACCTTCTTGTAGTCTTTGTCTTTACCGGCCTGCTCCTTGTCCTTTGTTACGGAGTCATAAGGGCCGTATCTGTCCCGGTAACTTCCTGTCGATCGACTCAGGTAGGAAGATGTACCCGTGTCATACCTGGGGACATACCAAGGGGAAACAAACGGAAATCACTCAAGAAATAAAACAGTTGTCCTGAAAGTTACAAACACATGAAAATAATACTTGAAAAATAAATTCATATTCAAATCCCATTTCAGACAAAATTCTTACCTGGATCTCGTTCTTTCACCCTGCGAAAAAGAAAAAAAAATATGTTGAGGTTTTTGGTCTACATGAAAAGTTAATGTTTTACCCCTGCAGAGAAAAAAAAGGTTGATTATTCATGTTACAAAATTTCCTTCATACCAGAATTATACTTGAAATGTTCTTTCTTAGATTGCATTACTAGAGTTGTGTCAACAGCAAACTTAAAACACTGCAAGCACCTTCATTTCCTTCTGCAAATTCAATTCGAGCTAAATCAAGTACAATCATGACAATTATAGTGAAAATTGACATGTATCCTAAGGCTTGCTACAGTCACTGTACAATGTACAGAATCAGATTTGTACTGCTTTGTGTATTACGTTGGTTACAACAGTGCTTAAGCAAAGTCTATATCTGGATGTAATAGATACATGTTGGATCAAAACATTTCAACTCTTCCAGAATACTCCAGTCTACTAGCTAACACACAAGTCAGTGCTTGCTCTACTAGTTCATACATGTACATTGTACATTTCTGTATCAAACTAAATTTAACCTATGACTGCAGACTCTACTATCAACCATCCATTTCCATATCTGTAAATGTACATGGAAGTGGCTGAGGGTTTGTTTATAGTTTCTGTACAATCAGTCCCTGTGGTCCGTTTATTTTGACAACTTAAACCAGTCATTCTGCACAAGTCCTACCCATTACATCACAACAGTAAGTGATAACATGACATCTGGATAAACTTGGGAAGAGAAAAAGCTGCCAGAAAAGGAAAATAAAGCTGGTACTGGTTGGATGTATTGAAGTCAAGCTGCACTATGGTCTAGGGAGTTGCAAATTCCTAAGCCCAGGCCCTAGCCTCTGGCCTTGCTAACCAGCCTTGCCTCTCAAAATACTGACATTTCTTCAACCTAGTACAAGCAATGTTTCTTGCAGAAATACAAGAAGAAACGGAACAGAATTTTCCGGTTTTAAGCGCCTGATTTTGATGCAATGCTTAACAAGCAGTTGAGAAATAGAGCGGCTACATTCCGTGACCAACGATAAGCCTCTATAATTAGAACTGCTACATGTTGTACATTCACCACGTCAAGATGGAGCCTGGGAGAGGAAAGCTAGCCCTCCGTTCGTGCGCCATGAAAACCTAAACGTGCCTGTTACAGCTACAGTGGTGAGAGAAAGAGGGAGTAAGCTTACAGTGGTGTAACTTGTACCGGAGCTGCCATAGAGCCGGCTGCTGAGATAGCTGCTCATACTGGAAAGGGAGGGCCCTGGGCTGGCTTTCACCTAGCGATACCAGTCATCTGTTCTGTTCTACAAGGGTCCTGCCTTAATACAGTTCTCTGTTGCCGTGCAGCGGTGCTTGAAAAACCAATGCTGTTTGTCAAGGGTGAATCACCCCTCACCAAACACAGTGTAACCAAACCCTTAGGAACAACACTGCGCTCTTTTTTTAAGGGACCGGATGCAAATATGCTAAGTTTACTTCTCGAACTTGATCCATGTCTACTTGTAACCCAATTTTTGTTTACTTTTTCCGACACCTAATAATAGATGAATTCTTAGAAATGACTTGGAGAATGACTAAAACATTTTGAAGGCTCAAACTTTCCCCTAACAAGACCATGGTTAGTTTGTCACAAATTTTCCTGTTCATGTGAGACTTAGTCTTCAGAAGGTATATTCCTTGTGCTAAAACCCTGTGATAGTTTTGTTTTGGCCCAGTAGCTGGTCATGTTGCCTAGCTATGTGGACAGGGGGGTTGGGTTGCCGATACTGATCATGTTCAGGGCTGGAAATACTGGGAGCATGTGCATCTAATTTTTTACTGTGAGTGCACTACTGGACCTAGATATTTGTGCATCCTGTTATGAATACATACATGTAAAGGCACTATAATTGCACACTAATACACAGCATATTCTTTGCATTCAAGATCCAAAAAATTGTAAAACCTTTGATATAACAATTTTATTTACTTGTTGACAAATGCTTAAACTTTTGCTAATTTAGCTAATTTTTAGCTAATAATAAATGTTTGGATTCAAGTTCTATTAAAAAAACATATACAGTGGCAGTTATTCTATAAAGTTTTGCTGATATTCTACTGAATTTATGAGCACCACATTTTTTTTCTATGCACCGTATACATTTCTAGGTTAAGTGTATTAGTAAACTTATTCCCTATCATGAATTTTGAGCCCTGATGTTGACATGTGGTCACAAGTTGCCCAGACGGGGCATCCAGTATCACCCAGGCGTGTCCTATGCACAGCACTTCAGGAATGTCATGTACCAGAACTCGAAACCAGAGGTTTGGGCTCTGAGTACACGGCACCAGCAAGCTTTATTTCCCTTTATTTACAGCGGATGAGTATCTGATACCAGCCCAGAAAAGAACAAGAAACAGTCATGCCTTCAAATGTCAGAGTTATCAAATATCAGTGTTCAAGAACTCCTAGTTTTATCCAAGAACTATTGTAGAGTGGAACTCGTTGCCACTGAGCACAGTTGGGGCATCATCACTAGAAATAAACAACTCCAGCAATTAAATTTGCAAAGATTGAGTGTGACAAGTCGTTCAGTGTGATATAGCCAGCTGCCGCCACACCGCGTGCCTGCAAAGCTGGTGTGTTACACTGAAGGGTGGTTATACCTACTATACTGATACAGATTTACAGCAGAGTACATAAAATTCCCAGGACTCGAGACGACGACCGTGACATTGTGACCTTTTTTGGGCAGAGGGTCAAGCGATGACGGCGTTAGCTTGGCAAGGCCACCTCAGGACAGTGACCAGCAACACCCTAAATACCAGCAATAAGTACAGATACTCGTAAATGCCTTAGTTTAACGAGTAAGGTACAAGGTGAAGGTAAAGTTTAATGCATCTTCAATTTCAGGGCAGCAAAACAAAAAATATTCTGGATGAAGAATACCAGCAATACATACAGACACTCGTAAATGCCTTAGTTTAATGAGGGAGGTACAAGGTGAAGGTAAAGTTTAATGCACCTTCAATTTCAGGGCAGCAAAACAAAAAATATTCTGGATGAAGAATACCAGCAATACATACAGACACTCGTAAATGCTTTCCTTTAATTTAACGAGCATTTTTCAAGGTGAAGCTAAAGTTTATACATCTTGTCATCGGGGGAGGGTCTTTTCTTGAACTTACAATCATCCAGTGCAATCCATCCAAACAAAAATAAATCTGGATGAAGAATACCAGCAATAAGTACAGACACTCGTAAATGCCTTCTTTAGTTTAACGAGTATTTTTCAAGGTTAAGGTGAAGTTTAATGTGTCTTGGCGGGGGGAGGGTCTTTTCTTGAACTTCCAACCATGTTAAGGGCATCCAATGCAATTTCAGAGCAGCAAAACAAAAAATATTTTGAAGGAGGAAATTACAAATACCTGCAATAAGTTTGGAAACTTGTAAATGCCTTCCTTTTGTTTAACAAGGATGGAACAAGGTAAAGTTAAATTAGCTTCTTGAGGGGTGGGCATGGGGTTTTCTTGAAATTACAACAGTTAAGAATCAGCAGTCAAACATAAGATGTGGAAACAGGCCAGGCAGATACCACAATATAGCCTTTTGGCCATTTTGTGCAAACCAAATTGAAAATTTCAAAAATTCTTACACCGAATTTCACTTTGTCATGAAATGCTTTAGACATCATGTTTTATTCACATTACTTTGCTATATGATGATGATGACTTTGCTTTCTTCATTGATACATGGAAGTTAAAATATCATGATGTATCTTCCTATTCTAATGTGTTTGCATGTGGGGGAGGGGCATGTCTCCTGAAGCCTACACACATGTAACTGTCACATTGTACATGTACGTGTCATGTTTGGTGGGTCCAGTTCCACTTCCTGTTACACTCATTTGTTAGCATTATATTTCAATGACTCTCGGCTCCATAGATTCATCTTAAAATAACCCACTACCCTTCCCTAAAAAACCTTTTCTCACACCCCTTTGACTATTGAAATGGTACACTCGTCAGCTCTTAAGACTACTGTATTGCTAAAGTCCATGGGCTACATTTTGAAAAACTCTACAGAAGTTCTAAAGTTAAACTATAAGTCTTGAAATGTCTGTGGTACATGTAACTCTATTTATGAAATTTTATCATAAGATTTCATAGCATTGCTACTGCATTTGAAAATTGTTTTAACTGTGAACTTCAAAACCCCACCAAAACTCCTATCACCTTCTATAGTGAAATAACCCCTGCAGAAATGACCAAATTTACAGTGAACACGGTGTGGAAAGGGCCCTTGGTGGTGGTAGTAGTCCCTAGGGGGGCAAAGTCATGTTGACACAACTTCAAGTGCAGTTGTATCCACAAACACTCAACCCATCTATACTCCAAGAACAAAGCATTTCATCCAACTTGATTTGAGATATTTCTACATATTGTATGTCCCAAATGTTCTCTGACAACAGTATAAAACATAAATCTACTGCATACATGACTAGGAGAATGCAGAAGTGCTGGGAGTTGCCCATGCATGGAGTTGTGTGAATGGTAATCCTATATATAACTCTTGTTGCTGGCAACATTGGAAAGGGTGCCGACAGAAGATGTACACATGACCACTGCTTAAGCTAACTCATAACTGCCTGTTACAGTACTGTACAGTTAAAAACTCATAACCTTACTGTAAATTCGTATAAGTTTGAAGTACTTCTAATGTTTGTGGTGCAGGAAAATTAGGAGCTTGCAGTATCTTAGTTTTGCGGTTGAAAATGGAAGAAAAAGGCCCATTCCACAAAATGTCTAAATCATGGCAAACTTGCATGGTAGGGCAACATTTTATCTAATCAATGTGAAAAGGAATTTGTACCTCACACAAGCAAACTATTCCAAAGATAACAGGGCATATAAGATATTGTTACTTTGCAATAGGTCATAGGAAAGGCTTTCTGCAAATACTTAATAAAGTGTGCCTTAGTACAAAATAAGGGGCATAACTGCCAGCTTATTACATGTATATTATTGTTTTGCATAGTACTATTGCCATGTACCATCAAGTAAATAAGGTGTCCTGAATATGCAAATTGTATGAATATATAATGAGCAACGGCTTACGTCTGCTATTAGGTTGTCCTGCGGTTGGGATTGGGAGGGGGTGTCGTCACTTCCGCCTTCATCCTGTAAACAAAAACAACAATTATATATAAATAATAACAATATTTGCCTGACAAAACCATTAATTCAATCTTCATTTGGCAAAAACAACTGAAAACATTACAGCATACATGTATACCTGTAAATCTATTTTTCAATATATGTACCTTATATGTACATGTACATGTATTAGTCAACTTTTTCTTGTACATATAAGTCCCACAGAAGAAATGTGACATCTATAATCTGCAATTCAGTTTCGCTGACAAACTAAAATCATTATAAAATTAAGTTTATAAAGGTTCTGACTGACTGAATTTGCCTTCCACCAAAAAAATTCCACACATTGCAAACATGACAGTAGTATTGAACGATTACTACTACAAAAATGTACATCTAAAACACCCCAAAAATGTAATCTACAGTGCTAAAAGCCACAAACTGCCAGGCTGGCATCTCTAAATTCACTCTGTCATACAGAAAATGCGGGTACCAGTTACAGTAGCCATACAGATATCCACAGTCACACGCACTAAAGATTGGTGGTGCCTTTAGTTCAACAAACATGACAGGTGATGTAAACTCTTGTCAACTGTTTATATCTGTAGCCATCATTTTAAACGTGTGACTGTCAGTTCATGATTCCTTTTAGTCGGGTGACATTGAAGCTAAACACTGAACCACATGTGGTATAAACTGTTTGTATCTAAAGGAATCATTTTTTAGTGAAACTGTCAGGTAATTTCTACTTAAATGGGTGACATTGAAGCTAAACACCAAACCACAGGTGTTATAAAATACTGTCAACTGTTAAAATTTGTAGGAATCACTTTAAATGTGAAACTGTCGATTCATTCCTGTTTTTAGATGGGTGAGACCAAACCAAGGGTGTTGTAAACTCCAGGCCAAATTCTGATAATTTTGTAAGTTCAGTGTTCTAGTCAGCGTCCATCTTTCAATCATTAATTTTCACTGAATTTTGCTTTTTATGATAGACAAAAATTTTGCCTAATCCATGAATCCTTGACGGGAAAGAATTGGTATGTAAACATATGGAAAGAGATGTTGTTAAAGTAAGCTTAAGTCTACCAGCAAAAGTTGCCCCTCCAAGTGCAGGAAATCAGAAAAAAATTAAGCTGCCAATTTGAAAACCAAATGGATTAAATTGGTGTGGCCCAATAGCCCATAAACGCAGACGTTTAGGATAATATGATACTAGACTAAGTAGCCCGTAAACACAGACGTTTAGGATTATATGATACTAGTAGCCCGTAAACGCAGACGTTTAGGCTACGCTGTAGAACAGACCTCGGCAGGTGCTGAGGCAGGGATGCCTGTGGAGCGTCTCTTCTCTCTGGGGCGCCTTCTCGCAGACTGGCTGGACATCAGCTTACGATCCTTATCCCCTGTAACACGAGGATTTAACAAGATTAGGACTGGATTAAACAAGATTAGAAGTGGATTAAATGAGATTAGAAGTGCTAGAAAGCTTTAAACAACTCCTACAATTAAATGTGCGAAGATTGAGGGTAACGGGTCGTTCGGTGTAATGTAGCTAGCTTCCTTTATTTGGGAAAGGCACTTTGCACGACTTTTCTCACTGGTCTCCATTCAGGCCTAGGTGTACAATAGGTGGGGGAGTAAAAGGCAGTGGAATTGGAAGGAGAGGGATGGGCTCCACCTTCCAATACTGTGCCCTAGACACAGTGGATCAACAACACACTGTCCCTACAGCCTAAAAAAGGCTATGGGACTAAGGCTAAGTATAACCAATTGCAAGTATTCCCATCATGATGATACAAAATTAAGAATTTTTTGTTACATAGAACTAGAAGGCAGCTAGTACCTTTAGATGAAATGAAATGTACACTTTGGGTCTTGGGCACTCTGCAATGGAATTCTCTAAAAATAACTGTAAAGAAGACTCTGAATACTTTCCAAGAATCTTCATTAGAGGAAAACTCGCTAACGAGAAAAAGTAGGTGTTGCTACTACAAAAGTAACGAAGGGCTTTAAGAAAGAGTGACATCTCTTGGGCATTTGTGCAGGGACCCTGATAACTGGTCAAAAGGCAACACTTAGACACAGTCATGGGATCTGTCAAGCCACGAAAATCAGCAGTTGTCATTGTCATAAATTCACTTTCCGCCCAAGAATGTGGTTTACAGTGAGGAGACCACATATGGGTCTTGTCTGGAACAGGAACGGCCTGGGGGCAAAACAAGGTCCACAGCCTGGGAGAGAGAGGTCTGTACTTTCTCATTACTGTCAGCCAGGCTGTGCTATGCACCATTAAAGCCTATCAGTCCTATTGGCAGTATTATGATTTTNAACAAGCCGCGATATAATTATGGAAAAACGTTTTAATTATGGACTCCCACCCATAAATCCCAAACGCTTAACCCAACTGTCTTAATACTTTTTATGGTAACATATTAGGTGGTAATGAATATGCGGAAAGCGTTGATGAGTCCCTTGGGAATAGTCAAATTATAGATAATTATACTATAATTATGTATAATTATACATAATGATTTTGGTATTATACATAATTATACATAACCCTTTGGACCATTATACATAATTATAGATAAGCCTTTGGACCATTATATATAATTATACATAACCCTTTGGACCATTATCTATAATTATATATAACACTTTGGACCATTATAAATAACACTTTGGACCATTATACATAATTATACATAACACTTTGAATCATTATACATAATTATACATATTTATACATAATCTATATGACCATTATATATAATTATACATAACCCCTGCACTTATATTATGCAGTTATCCATAACTTTGGGATTATACTTCTGAACAAATGCACAGGGAGTCTTACTTGCAATGATTTTCCATCCATACATGTACCTGTTTACAACTCAATACAGTCAAACCTGCTCAAGCTGGCCACCCATTGGACCGGAGAAAAACGGTCGGGTTGGACAGGTGGTCTGCCTGAAGAGGGTTTCTTCTCCTGACTCACAACATGACTGAGAGTTAATCGTCTCCCTTTCGAGGTGTTTTGATCAGCTGGTTTTGATGTCAAATACGGCAGGTATCAGGTCCTAAACTTCACAGTTCTTGGCAAATAAAGCAATACAGCTGTATTTGACTATTTGAGATTCATCAAATTTAATCACATAGGAATTTTCTGAGTACGCACAGCGGTATCAACATTTTCAAGCGCTTTGAAAGACAACTGACCGGATGCCGGCTGTAAGCCCCAAGCGAATGTATTCACGGTTTAACGGATTTCTATCTATGGTGTACAGTGCAGTACATACAGCAACACCACTCACTCACACTCACTGTCCGGTTTATCGTCTGTTGTTCCCCGTCTTCCGAGGGTTAGACGTGCTTGCACAATACATCCAACACCACGGATGATACAAACTGTAGTACAGAAACTTTAATCGTTAAAAAACCCTCTGTAGTAATCACGCACAGTAAATCATTTGAGTAATGACAAATGGGCATAAACCCAAGAACTTCCCACCCATATCCATTGACCCAAAATGAACCAGTGGCGGCCACCTTCGTCCTTAGTCGAAAACATCACGTCCACAACAACAGTCGAAACCCAAGACAAACTGGCCTGGTCGGTTTGAGAATCGATGTTTCCACTGATTGGAGGCTTTACAGAATTATGACCCTGCCATCCGGTCACCATGGGAAGGGATCGGGCCAAGGGCAGACCCAACTCGTGGCAGTCGTGTTGGCCAGGTGGCTGCACTGGGAAGGTCGCTTAATGCTTGCATCAATGGGGAAAATTTTCGGATCCGAGAAAAAGCGGTTGCGATGTCCAGGTGGTTTAGTTGTAGAGGTTGACTGGCAGGTTTGACTGAACTCAGGTTGTATATAATGGATGACTCCAAACCAAAAAATCCCCATTAGTTAAACAAGCTGGTCAACTACGGTTCACTACATTATCCAGTAATAAACTGCATCATATGCCACTGCTTTGCTATTAATAAGTTGTTTATAAGCACTACTACAAATGTATTTTGAACAAATATGATGCTTCCAAGGACTAGTAGTAATTGCTTTTTGAGAAGAAAGCAGGCTATACTATATCTTAATGAAGAAAACTCAATTCAAAGTAAGTGTTTCCAAATCTCCCTGCATGTTTTTCCTGGTGCATATAGACATGTCCAGAGCAAGTACACCCTTGTCCTCAAGAGCACAATTGACAGGTACAACTAACAGATTGGCCAAGACATTTCTGTGCTATGAAGTTTGTCCATTTTGATTTATGATTAGTTACAGTACTTATACATGTCTCACGTGCAATTGTGGGCTAAAGGTGTTACTTCGGGGCATTAACTTACATGTAATTTTGAGGGTTTTCGATGACATACATGTAATGGTATGTGTAGCAGCGAACTGGGAAGATACCTTTTTGTTTCTGCAGATTTTTGTTACAAATGGTAAACTAATGGTCTCCTGGAATGTGGTGAAATTTATCTCAAAAGTTTTATTTAAAAGTTTTGGGTGTGGAGACATTTGAGGGTGTGGGTACAAGCGGATTGATCTGTGTGGCCTAGGTGTCAAAAGGTCATGTGGGTCAGTTTAATGTCATTATAGGCATCTCAACAATAAAATCATGCTATTGGCCAGGAATTGTAGAAAGGAGAGTCTACGAGAATTTATGACAGTCTACTATCATGAAAATTTATGTACAAATGGCACCCAGGCTACATCCTGGCTTGTGCTAGAATCTTTTTGCCAGAAAATGCATGATGTGAATTTTGAGCTTTATTTGGGAATCATCATTTCAACTGAACAATGGTACAAAAAGTTTATTATGTCATGATCTATTCTTACAATGTTAGCAAACTTTAATTTTCTTTCTTAAAGTTCTTTCTGTTTTGGTACAATTGGTTGCTCTATTATTTTCAGTCTGAATTCAACAATAATCAGTGAAGTACAGAATACTAGTACTTTTTCGGTTCCACCCCAAGCATTAGATCCAAACAAGGATATAAATTATTAATGTCCTTGATCCAAACTATTTCAACTCCCTAGCCTGGGTGCCATCCATCGCAGTTCCCGCAGGCTCCCTACCAGATGCCAGTGTCACTAGAGAACTGCCTATGGAGGATGACACTCAGGCTACTACATTGTACATATATGTACAATGCAAATGGACATATGGCATGATCCAGATGTCTGAAATTCTCAGAATGCTAATCAATCATTTTTACAGACATATTAAGTGTTAGAGACTATAAAACCTTTGATTCTTTCATATTTTTCAATCCCTCCCTGTCTCCTGTGTAGACTCAGGAGAGGGTAGAGGGTAGCCTCTACCAGGCTTCAGGAGGTGGCTGGAAAAAGNGTAGAAACTGGCCAAAACAGAGTATCATACGAGGGGATTT